ACTCAGTGCTCCTGGGGGGCAGGGCCGGCACACCACCAGGGTTCCAACCCTGGTCCCTGCGCTTGCCTAAGCAAGTGCCTAGTCCACTGAGCTATCTTACTGACCCTCTTCCTTTGTGATCTAATTCACAATGACTTTTTGAAAAACTACAATGTATAAACACTTTAAACCACAATATTGTGCATGAGAAATAATACAATTTTACTGCTAAATTCAAAAATTAAAACTGAGGGGCCGGGGAGATAGCTCAGTAGAATAAGCGTTTGCCTGGCAAGCACAAGGGCCTGAGTTCAATCCCCGGCTCTGCTAACAAAAAAAAAAAAAAAAAAAAAAAGAACGCTCCCAAAAAACATCATATGATACTTTAAAAAAATTAAAACTGAGTTAGGCTTAGATTTAGTTGGGTTAATGCAAGATGAAACCACTACTCCATATTTTTGAAAGTTAATATCTTCTTTGACTTATAGATAGTAACATATAAAATAAAACAAAAATTGGACACATTGTTTTGCTTAAGGTAGTATAATTCATTGCTCCACCAAAAGAGACTATTTTTTTCCCCGAAGTGTCTCTACAGATTAGGGAGGAACTATCTGACAAGTTCTTTTTTTCTTAACTTTCAGATTTTGTATATTTTAGTTTGTATAAGTCAGTGCACTGAAGGATGGGGCTGTTAAAAGTATAAATAGGTTTAGAAGTTGTTTATTTCAGTTCATGGATTAAAAACTCATGTTTATGCTCTTGACCTTTTCTAGTCTCATGCTGCACACTTTTCTTCAGTAATCTCAATCCTACTTAGGTATCACTAAGACAACTGTAAGCTCAAATCAGTTTATGTCCAGAGCCCAGAAGTATCCTGAATCCTGGACATCCATTTGGAACTGCCTAATGGAACATCCACCTGGATGACACAGCAGCATCTTAAACATAATGTGTCCAGAAAGAAATGGGACTTCTTCCAATGCCAATGTACCCCATATGTCCTTCTCTTAATGAAAGAAATCTGCTGATCTTGGTTTGTTAAACTTGAAACTTTAGTCTCATCCTTGACTCACTTAGCTCTTGTTACCTCAAACAGACATCATTACCAAGTCATGTCACTTTTCTTACACTACTATCTCTTCATGCCTCTTTCCTTCTGCAACTATAGTTTAACTTGATCTCATTGCCACTCTTAGCTTTGGTCTAATGCAGTATCCTCACAGATTCTCTCTGTGTATCAAGTTATTCCTGACTGCAAACAATCTTCTACTTTGCTGCCTATGTTTTTACAGTTCTCCTTTACACTTATCATTCTAAAAATTCTTATTTATGATAGGATTCTCCAACAATTGTTTAAAAAATTTCTTAAACATTGAAAAATAAAAGAGGCCCCAAATGTGGCGTACAATAGACCTCATGATATTATTTTCAACAGATCTTTTCAAAATATATTGATTGTCACATCATTCCAGATGTTTTTCATCTTGGAAAGTTATACCTGATAATCTACCCTCTTGGAATGCCCTCCTCTTAAATGCTTATTCAAATTTTAAGACCTACATCAAATAGTGCTGTGATCCACAGAAAAAGGTAGCTATTTTATTCTGTACATTTCTACAGTACAGATGGTTCCTTTTCCCCACAACAAATGTATTCCAAGACCTCTAGTAGATGGTGAAAACCTGACTAGAGAGTGGGTAGCATATATAATGTGAACTCAGTGGACAAAGGGATGATTCACTCCCTGTATAAGACAGAGAGAGAGACGTTATAAGATCTCATTGTGCTACTTCCAATGGCACTCCATTTGCAACTTATGTTTATTTCTAGAGCTTTCTACTAAATGGGTAACTGAAATTGTGGAAAGCAAAACCCTGGATAAAGGGAAACTATTACAAAAGCACTTGCTACATTTCATTGCAATGATTTGTCTGAATATTGATTTTCTCCTTTGTATAAGAACTTCTTACAAGCAGTAATTTTCGTCCTCAATGCAGAACTCAAGAACTGACATATATTAAATACTAAGTAAAGGCTTATTACTTAAAAATAGTTTCTTGAAAGGAAATTATAATGGCATTTTAGAAGAGAAACAGCATTCACCTTTAATTCTTTTGATTTTACTATAAAGATACAAAATCTGAGACTGTCTAACTCTTTATAAGAATTGCATGAAAAATTTATACTTTTAGAACTGTCATCAGTATAGTAAACTCAGAATATTAGGTCAACCATGCTATACCTCTATCTTGCAATATACAGCTTACAATTATGACTTCATCTTCTTTAAGTAAAATCCTGCAGAGAAATATTTTTCTGAGAAGTATACATTTTTAAAGCATGATAGAACCAGGAAATTCCCATAGGGTACCATTTATCAATCGCCAGGTAAGTAGATGAAAATTATTTTAGTACAAGTGTTCATTATCTTTAACTGATGAAATAAGATGGATTAAAATGAATAACTAAAAAGAGGTATATAAAACTTTTACTAATTATGTCAAAAGATGAAAACAAATGACATAGTTAATATTATAAACATTTAGTGCATATGTGAATGTTTGTATGAATATTTCATTTTTTGAATAAATTTAAGATTTTCTAAATGAAAGTTCTGCCACTAATTAGAATACATTTTCTTTTGTAATATTTTAGTATGGTAATATTTAAAGAGCAGGTTTCAAAATAAGATAAACACTTATATTCCATTGATAGCATCTATTTCCTTAATGAAAGCAATAATAGAGCCTATACTACATTTAAGTTTTACAGAGAAAGAGCTCAGTGACAGAAACACAGCCAGATGGGAAAACATGCCTATAATTCCAGTGCTCACGGCTGTGTCAGGAGGACTTCAGGTTTAAACCCATGTTGAACAACCCAGAAACTTGCCATAGCAACACAGTGAGACCCTGCCTTAATATCTAAAATTAGAAATAGGAAATATATGGGATCTGAGACACTGAGAAAGAAAGAATTATTTTTATCTTCATTTAATGTATAAGAGAGTATGCACAACCATAATCTGAGTTGCACATGAGTACAGATAAAATATCTTCCGGGTTAATGGAAGAAGAGAGCAGCAACGCTATGGGACAGTAGTGATGATGATGGAGGTAACTGTACCACACAGCTTCAGTGCCAAAGTTGCTTGTAAATTAGTACTTAGAAAAATTTTGGTAAAGCAAGGAAGGCCATTCCAAGAAAGAGTTTGGGGCTAGAGATAAAGCTCAAGGGTATAGCACTGACCTAACATACATGACAGCCTCGGTTCAACCCCCAGTACCACAAACACAGCATTCTACTTTTCTCACAAATGAGGTAATAACACATTGAAGGAATAAAAGAGGAATAGAATGAGATACAGGCAGACAAATTAGGAAACGAAACAATATCTAAATAAGATATAATGATAGCAATGATGATGAGGATGGAGGAAAGAGGGATCTGAGAGGTGTAGAGATTAATTCTGCTGGATGAGGCAACTCACAAAATACAGAATGCATGTGTGCCTGACTGTGAGAACAGGGGCATAATTTAAAGATGTCAGGCAATGGAAAGAGGAATGGGATTAGGGGTGTTAATATGATTGCTTCAATTTTTGAAATATTGATTTAAAGTGTTCAATGTTTCACTTCTTTGGAAATTTTCAGCAGGTAACTCAAATTTAGGACAAGAGGTTTGGGTTTCAAAATAAATATTTGAAATTCACCCAAAGACACGTGGTCATTGAAGGCATCAAGAAATTATAGAGAAGTGATATAGCATTCAAATGTGAACAGGCAATAGAATCCACTGGAAAGCTTGTTAAACCATAAATTGCTAGGTCCCACCCTCACGATTTCTGACTCATTAAGTTTGACGTAGGGCCTGAGAGTCTTCATCTTTAAGAAGCTGCCTGGTTATGCTGATATTGCTAGAGAGGGCACTCACTTTAAGAGTTACTAATCAAGAAAAAGCTATTTTAAAAACATCTTAACATGACTTATTCATAACAAACAATGCATGCGAATGTCAATATCTATTTTCCTATGAAGTTAAAATAGTGTTTAACACTTTTCATCTATCAATTGAAAAGAAGAAATAAATCATATTTCTATTTGTCTGGATTTTTATTTATTAGAAAATGTCCTTCCATAATTTCAAAACCAAGGCTTCCCAAAGAATATGCTCCAAAATGTATATGTGGCTAAAAAAGAAGGGACACCAAAAAGGATTTCCTTTCAAACCATGCTGCAAAAAACCTCCATATTTGGATGGAAGACTTTTTTGACCTTTGTTTGGCAGCTTTTTCAGCAATCAAATATGTATTTGAGACTTTTGTCCCACATAGGCAATGACTTGAAAAGCACTTAGCTGTTTACTTTTCATCTGACTATAAATGATTTATCTTTCAGTCTATAAATGGCTATTTGTAGGATTAGACAAATTTTGAATGCTCTGATAAGAGGATTGTAGCATCTAAATTCATATATAATCCATAAAAAGCATGGATAACCTGCACCTTAGATGGGTTAGCATATGAAACAGATTTACTAAGCATATGTAGGCTGTGCAAATTATTAACCAGCTAACATCACCAAATTTGTTTTTGAAACATAGTTTTATGCACTTAAGGGTTTTTTTTATTCCTTAATGAGAAATTGTATCAGTTACAAAAATACAATAAAGGAGCTGGAAAGATAGTGGTCTAAGAGCCTGCTGGGAAAGCTCAAGGACCCAGGTTTGATCCCTGGTGCCACATACTGTGCTGACACAGAGCCAAGTCGGTGGCCACTGAAACCGGGCATGGTGGCACATGCCTTCAATCCCAATGCTGGGGAGGCTGAGACAGAAGGATCACTACAAGTCTGAACTGCATAGAAGGACACTGTACCAAACAAATAAATGAGTAAATAAATAAATAATACAATAAAGACATATCTTTTTTATGTGGAACTGGGAATTGAACTCAAGCCCTTGAGCTTGCCAGGGAAGCGCTTATTCTACTGAGCCATCTCCCCCACCCCAAGACATACCTTGAGTAGACTTCTCTACTTCTTTCCTCTTTCTACTCTGGCTATCGTAATTCATCCTCAGTTCCTGGTTATACTCATGCAGAGTTTCCCTGGAGTTGTATGAACGTCTTGGTTTTCTTCCATCCTCACTTTCATCAGAAGAACTGGTATAAGCTAGATCCATTTCATGCTTGACTTTTGACAGAGGCTGGTAGGGCTTGCAGTCTGTTTGCTCCATCTCCGATTAAGCAAGATCAGTTTCATGAAAATAGGATGACGACGTCTTTTAGTGAAAGCAGTCCTGGGGGGGGGGGAAACAAGCCTTTTTAGATTTGTACTTTTTTAAGAAAAAGCATCTGGCAGATTCACAATTGGTCTTGATAATGCTATCAAAGGAGTGAAACAAAAGACAAACTAGATGACATGAAGTTAGCTGGAGGCAATAATAACACCCTGTGTTACATGCGTACATTGTGAAGCATTTAAGATTAAACTGGAGGTTGTAGCATCAACAAATACTCAGAAAAAGAGCCTTCAAAATATTTGTGTCAAAATGCAAAGAAAGAACAATGTCATTTTATGGTGTGTGTGTGTGTGTGTGTGTGTGTGTGTGTGTGTGTGTGTTAATGTTAAAATCAGTTATTAGATTAAAGAGAATTACTGGATATGAAAGTGGTCAGGAGTATAAATATTAACCCAGCAAAACTCACATTTGAAATGAAAACTGGCAAGAGAACACATTCAGAAAAACATATTCTTGCCTCTGGTTTAATATTACATTTAAGACAGGGGCTCTGAGGAAGCTAAGACTTCTGAGTGAAAGAGGCAGCTACCAGAGTTCATGAAATAAAGTGTCCTTTAGGGGATCTGAGCTCTTTGTGTTCATATTGTGGCTTTTGAGCCTCAGGCCTACAGAGAATTTTTAATGAGTTAGGTGGTGGTAAATTTTTGTTCTTCATAGTACTGAGAGGATGTAAACAACACTTCTGGTTACTATACGAGTATAGGAACAGCGGGATCTAAATCGGTTTTAGAAAGAGCAATATGAAACGTCATGATAAATCACTGAAAAAAAAACCTTTCCCCACAGAATGCTGAGCTAGGAACTGTGAAAATTCTCAGGGCCAGTGGAGGCATTAGCTGCCCTAGTTAGCACAGGGAAGTTTGAGAAGTTCAAGTGCTATCTCAGATGCCAAAGTCCTCTGTAAATGTTAAAAGGCACGAAAAATATTCTTATTTTCCTTCACATGATTTTATCATCATGTTTTCATTCTATTGTTAGTACTTTGTAATCTCATCCTTTTGAACAATATTAAAACAACCTAGTCCAAAACCAAGTAACTGGAATTCTATTTTGCAGTGAAATCAGCTCCCTTATTTTTTTCTTTTACTCTTTACCACATCTACTTTCAAAGAAACTCATAGACATCTAGATATCATATGCAGTATCTCATCCTTTGAAATTCCTATTGCTTTTATAGCAAGCAACACAGAGATCACTCAAGAATGTTTTATGGCCTGGCCTATATGTATTAAATAATACATCCTGCTTTGTAGTGTGAACAATGTTTTACAAATTGAGGTCTTATTTCCCTAAAACCAAACCTTAAGATTCTTGAAGGCAAGATATTGCATCTTACACATTTTTATGTTTCCCTATACTACTTAGCATCATGCTATACATATACATAACGAAGATATTTATCTCCTAGACTTTCAAATTGCATAAATTGTCATGAGGAGTTTCATAGTTTGTTTGAGTTAATATTAGAGATGAGTATGCTTAGAGAGAGGGCAGATTCAATATATAAATGAACATATGTTAATGATTCAACAGAATTTGAATCTAATGCCTTCTCATGGTTTTATATTTTGTGTGTATGTGTGCAAGTTCTCCATTGCATCTCCACTATGTGCTGTAAGTTTGAATACTCAATTGCCCACTCAGTGTCTCCATTTACTTATCTAAAAGAGATCTCAAAATTGATATGTTCAAAAGGGGGCTAATTTCTACCCTTTCCTAATCTTATTCTTTTCACTGTTCTCTCTGTCTCTCTGACCCTATGTCTGTCTGTTTCTCCGTCTCTATGTCTCTCTCTCTCTCTCTCTCTCTCTCTCTCTCTCTCTCTCTCTCTCTCCCTCCCTCCCTCCCTCCCTCCCTCCTTCTCTCTCTCTGTCTGTCTTTCTCAAGATGACCACTCAGTTCAATTTGCTCAGGCCCAAAAGACGGAATTGTCTTTGATGCCTGCCTTTCACATACCATGTACAATCCATTAGTAAATCCTACTGGTGCTACCTTTGAAATATATCTAGAACCCAGACAGTTCTCTCCACCCTCTCACTACTATGTTGGCTGAAATTACTCTTTCTTGACTGGATTATTATGACATTTTTTTACTGGGTTCACTGCATATACCATTGTTCCCTGATAGCACATTCTTTATCCTGCAGCAGAATGAAAGTTTTAAAATACAAGTCATTCATGGCTGTCCCTTTCTCAGAAGCAGTGAGCAATGTCCCATTTCCTCAAAATAAAAGCGAAATATTTACAATGATATATGAAGTCCCTAATCTAACCGCTGCAAAGTCATATTCTGACATTTCCCCCTAGCTCATGCACTATGGGTATCCCGATCTTGCGATTTTGAAAAACACCAGGTATATTCCTATCTCAAGGACTCTGCAAGGTCCCACTGAGAAAACAGCAGACATGGTATAGCTAATCCTCCTTACTGTCTTTAAAAAAACTTATTACCACATGACACACTTTATGAAGTTTACTTGTTTGTCTATTGACTGCCATATGTCTTTCTCCACTAAAATGTAAGCTCCGTGGTTCTTAGCATTATCATTTTATCCATTATTATACACTTCCAAATAAGCACAACATCAGTAATATACTAGACATTTGTTTTTTGGTTTTTTCCCATAATTTTATTGAGAAACAAATAGCCATCAGACAGTTTCAAACCAAATGGGTAGGACAGTTGCAATAATTAACACATTGCTACAACCTTCCTGGGGGTTAATTGCTGTACAGGATGCGGACATGATATCTTATTTACAAACACTATTAGAACAAATCCCTCTGTTCATTAAGAGAATGTAACTATATATCTATCCTAACGATTTTGAATACACAGATACAAAATGTACATTCATCTGTTTCCCCTTTTCCGGTTTAGTTCCGTTATTTGAATATTATAGGTGTGTTAACTCAGCAAAATATTCCAAAAGAGTCTAGTAGTCCATGATAGTATTGGGTCTTCCACTTGACTGGCAATTTCAGAAGTTGGTGACCTGAGTCCCCTACAGCTCAACATAGCAACATGGCTTTACTTCTTATACTTCGATTTTATACTTTTCTGCTGGATGATTAAGACCAAGATAAAGTAAGACCTATGAAACAAGAGTTGTAGCTTTTGGGTCTGATAAGGTCAGTAAAATCCCCTCAGGATTCATCCTGAGATCCTGTACCTCAGATTGTAGAACCTTTGTCAGTGTCAGCCATGTGGATGAGTCACAGCCATTGCTTGGCCAATGTGCTCTCTGAGAAAGCCTGAGGGAATGTTTTCTCTCCATGTGACTCTCCTTAGGCACACTCTACATCACCGATCACTTTCCTCTTTGGCCCCATAATCTCCTTGATCAGAAAATTTGGGACACTACTGAGTTAGGTGACGTAACAGTACAAGTTCTCATATGTCCTGAGTCTTAATTGACCAGCGATTGTTACTCTTAAGAACATGAAGAGATAGTAAAGAAATGAATAAACCACAATTTCTACCTCCAAGACATTGGTAGCCTATTCAAGTAATGAATAGATAATTCTAGTAAAAGGAGAATGAAATGATTTTTTCTTTGTAAATAAATAGTGTTTGAGTATGAAAGGGGCATGTTTTAAGAAAAGATGGTACTTGGTTTAGTTGATTTGTCATCAGCATCCTGTAATGCAACCACTGAAATTTCATTTAGCACCTATGTTATTAAGAAAATTTATATTTCTGTTTAGATTCTCATCACATGTTTTTCAGAAGGTAGGCTGTCGTATGAATTTTAGGTCTTGATTTGCTATAATCATGCAAATTGATAACTATATCAACAGAATTTCAGGGATGCATTTAGATTAGATGTTATCCAGAACTTAGACTTCAATATAATTCATCTACTTCATTTTAATGAACATACACAGTTATTTTGAGGGTGAGAGCCATTTCCACATAAGGCATTGAGAATAACATTATCAATTAAGACTTTATAACTAAAAAGGAAGTCTAATTTTTTCTCCAATGTAGGGATTAATCTTTCATTTTCTAATTACATTTTCCAATTCTGTTGTTCATCTTTCAGGACTTTGATTCAGTGACCAGTATTATGATCAGACTAATGCTCAGAATGTCCAGAGCAATGCTCTATCAGATTCAGTGAGGAATGAATCTCTATCTATGTAGATAGGATGAAACCCATACAAGTTAAAAATTAACATTAAAAACTCTTACTTTGAATGTCTAAAGCTACATTTGATAACAATGATTTATCATGTTAAAATTACTCTTATTTTAATGTGTAGAAATCTAGATCTTCTGTTTTCTCTTGGTATATTGATTTTCAACATGTACATTTCAGAGAGAGAGAGAGCCATTATGGCTTATTTTCAAATTCCTAATTGTAGCTATCTGCTGTCACAAATCATGTAAGAATGTCACCTATTCAAGATTACTGAGTGTCCATGGAAGAAATGTTCCTTTAAACCATAAAACTGATAAAAGTTCTCTGACTTCTCCACTAGAACATTTTGTCTTAAATTTTGTGTCAGCAGATATAGGTGACAGGGAACTATTCCAGGTCCCTTTTGACACTTGAGACAGAGGCACACGCAATTCATGTGCCTAGTATTTTGAGCATATATAACACTGACATTTGTCAAAACATCAAGAAGTAATACATAAACTCACTGGCCAATTGTTTACTTTTGAAAATGAAAGTCATTAAGTAAAGTTTAATATTTTAAATCTATTAATATTCTAAAGCACACTAATGTGGAAAAGATGTTTTCTCAAGTACTCTTTGGTAAGGAAATGCTCATAATTGATTAAATGACTTTTTCATTGAGTATGTGACATGCCATCATGGAATTTCATTGGCAACTAAATGTTTTCAGACATCATGATCATATGGTCAAGTCACAGAAAATCCAACTGTGTATATAATACTGTTTCCACCAAAACCATTTGCATTTCCCTATTATATTTATAATAGAGAAATTCTAAAACAAAGCGAGTATGTGCAACACATTGTTTA